GTATATGACAATGTGTGTACAATGGTCTGTGTATATGACAATGTGTGTTCAGTAGTCTGTGTATATTACAATGTGTGTACAATAGTCTGTGTATATGACAATGTGTGTACAATAGTCTGTGTTTATGACAATGTGTGTACAATAGTCGGTGTCTATGACAATGTGTGTGCAATAGTCTGTGTCTATGACAATGTGTGTACAATAGTCGGTGTCTATGACAATGTGTTTACAATAGTCTGTGTTTATGACAATGTGTGTACAATAGTCTGTCTATATGACAATATGTGTACAATAGTCTGTGTATATTACAATGTGTGTACAATAGTCTGTGTTTATGACAATGTGTGTACAATAGTCTGTGTCTATGACAATGTGTGTACAATAGTCTATGTTTATGACAATGTGTGTACAATAGTCTGTGTTTATGACAATGTGTGGACAATAGTCTATGTATATGACAATGTGTGTACAATAGTCTGTGTATATTACAATGTGTGTACAATAGTCTATGTATATGACAATGTGTGTACAATAGTCTGTGTATATTACAATGTGTGTACAATAGTCTATGTATATGACAATGTGTGTACAATAGTCTGTGTTTATGACAATGTGTGTACAATAGTCTATGTATATGACAATGTGTGTACAATAGTCTGTGTATATTACAATGTGTGTACAATAGTCTGTGTTTATGACAATGTGTGTACAATAGTCTATGTATTTGATGATGTGTGTACAATAGTCTGTGTATATTACAATGTGTGTACAATAGTCTGTGTTTATGACAATGTGTGTACAATAGTCTATGTATATGACAATGTGTGTACAATAGTCTGTGTATATTACAATGTGTGTACAATAGTCTGTGTATATGACAATGTGTGTACAATAGTCTGTGTTTATGACAATGTGTGTACAATAGTCTGTGTCTATGACAATGTGTGTACAATAGTCTGTGTTTATGACAATGTGTGTACAATAGTCTGTGTTTATGACAATGTGTGTACAATAGTCTATGTATATGACAATGTGTGTAAAATAGTCTGTGTATATTACAATGTGTGTACAATAGTCTGTGTTTATGACAATGTGTGTACAATAGTCTGTGTATATTACAATTGTGTACAATAGTCTGTGTTTATGACAATGTGTGTACAATAGTCTGTGTATATGACAATGTGTGTACAATAGTCTGTGTTTATTACAATGTGTGTACAATAGTCTGTGTATATGACAATGTGTGTACAATAGTCTGTGTTTATGACAATGTGTGTACAATAGTCTGTGTCTATGACAATGTGTGTACAATAGTCTGTGTTTATGACAATGTGTGTACAATAGTCTATGTATTTGACAATGAGTGTACAATAGTCTATGTATTTGACAATGTGTGTACAATAGTCTGTGTTTATGACAGTGTGTGTACAATAGTCTATGTATATGACAATGTGTGTACAATATTCTGTGTTTATGACAATGTGTGTACAATAGTCTGTGTCTATGACAGTGTGTGTACAATAGTCTGTGTTTATGACAATGTGTGTACAATAGTCTGTGTTTATGACAATGTGTGTACAATAGTCTATGTATATGACAATGTGTGTACAATATTCTGTGTATATTACAATATGTGTACAATAGTCTGTGTATATTACAATGTGTGTACAATAGTCTGTGTTTATGACAATGTGTGTACAATAGTCTATGTATATGACAATGTGTGTACAATAGTCTGTGTATATTACAATGTGTGTACAATAGTCTGTGTTTATGACAATGTGTGTACAATAGTCTGTGTATATGACAATGTGTGTACAATAGTCTGTGTTTATGACAATGTGTGTACAATAGTCTGTGTCTATGACAATGTGTGTACAATAGTCTGTGTTTATGACAATGTGTGTACAATAGTCTGTGTATATGACAATGTGTGTGCAATAGTCTGTGTATATGATATTGTGCGTACAGTTGTGTATATGACAATGGGTGTACAATAGTCCATGTATATGATAATGTGCGTACAGTTGTGTATATGACAATGGGTGTACAATAGTCTATGTATATGACAATGTGTGTACAATAGTCTATGTATATGACAGTGTGTGTACAATAGTCTATGTAAATGACACTATTTGTAGCCAGCCATGTGTTAGACAAAGATCTCAGCTTACCTTTATTCAACCTTCCCCAGAGTTGGGCACAGTCAAGCAGGGGACACCACTCTATGGCCAGCCATCATGGTGGGGTGAAGGTGAAGGTGACCCAACAGTCACCAGCAGTTCCACATCTGAAGGTTTGCCCATGGATTATTCTTAACTTGTTCACACATTCCATTTCATGTTACTTTACACCTGTTTAAAAAAAAAATAGATATCAATAGTGAAAGGTGAATTATCAACTGGTTTATAATATGAAAAGCCATATGGACACAGGGTTTCTCAAAATTTGTTGAGTGCATTCAAAGACCTCCTTCATCTCACTGAAACCATATGTTCATCAATCTTCTTCTTCAGACCACACACATGGAGAACCACAGCTCAGTACCTGAAATTTTGCAGCTTTAGGGAGGATGTGAATTTGTGTGTAATAGAGTTCACAGTTTAAATATTATGGAATTTTCAGTCTCATCCAAACTTTTTTGGAAAGAGAATTTGAAGTGAATGAGAGCTGGCAGTCACATCTCATAATGTCACGAGCTTGTATATATGAAATCCAGTAACCTCATGCCCCAACCCCTGAAACAATAATTTTTAGGCTTCAAGAAGTAAGACGCCTCCTTCCCTACGCTAACCTAGGAGACACACTTGGACAAGGTGGAGTACCTGTTTAGCCCCCCTATCAGGATCACATGAAACCATGGGAGCAGGTGGTGAATTGAGCTTCAGAGCAGCTAACAGGTAGTTATTGGTCATAGTCTCAGGTCCCCGGACATTAGGCAGAGGATCACACTATGATGACAATGGCTACAGTCACCCAACCAGTATGGTCACTGCCAAGAAGGAAAGCAAGGGCGAACTACTTTCTTCAAGATGCCAAAAATAGTCTAATTTTGCACTGTCTGCCTTGCGAAATTAGACAAGAATCACTGTGGAAAAGGTAGCTTCTCTCACCATCCTGGCTCAGAAGAAAAAAGTTACTCCTAATCAGCATTTGTCATGAGATTTACACTTTTATCATACAATAGGCACATTTTCTAGAAATGATTATTTATATGCATTTTCAACTAAACACATTATGTTGTTCGGTGTTGTCACTGTTTTGCAAATGGAGAAAATAGGAATTTGCAGATTGCATACAGTAATTTTTCTTCTTGATGTTCTTCTATTTTCCTCCAATATTTTTGTTTTTGACATAGTGGATGTATTATGCTGTTTACAACAAAGCTGTAATATTTGTGAGTTTCTGCCAACACGTCCAATTTCTCTGAACGTTAGTTGAATGGGTTAGACTTCCTGGTGATAATTAAATTCAAGAAAAAACTATTTTTAACATAAAGGGATTTGGTCACCTTGTGAGACTAACATCCAGTGGCTACCACATTGTGCATATAGCCAGAGAAGCTGTGGTTGTAGAGGTAGAGCAAGACAGAAAATAAGATTGGTAGAGTATTGTACATATAGACCACACAAACACAGTTAAAGATGAACCTATGGTAGGTCCTGCAGAGTTGATAAGAATTGATATCACAGCACTCAGGGCATTCCTATGCATGCTCGGTCCTCATCTTCAGCAGCCAGCGCAGAGTTTCAATACTGATGGTATCGGTCACAATCTAGTTATATGTCCGTCTTGCCTTTCCTCCGAGTATAGTAAGCGGGCCAGAGCCTCTGGTAAGGTCCTGCAGAATGATAGAAGATTGAACTGTCCACACAACAATCTCAAATGATATTAGGAGATATATGCCAACACTCTCATCATCCTAGACTGGAATAGAATAGGAACATGAAATACATGTGTCTAGTGAAATACATGTGTCTAGTGAAATACATGTGTCTAGTGAAATACATGTGTCTAGTGAAATACATGTGTCTAGTGAAATACATGTGTCTAGTGAAATACATGTGTCTAGTGAAATACATGTGTCTAGTGAAATACATGTGTCTAATGAAATACATGTGTCTAGTGAAATACATGTGTCTAGTGAAATACATGTGTCTAGTGAAATACATGTGTCTAGTGAAATACATGTGTCCTGGGCACCTTGAAATGATTTGGCTATCTTATAGGAATTTACTTCTATCAGGCATCATAGAGAGCTAAATTAGAGAAATATAATGAGAACAGAGCAAGGGAAAAGCCATGTAAAAGGTGAAGCAACACCATCAAGAACAGTTTAGATAAATGAACATATCACACAGTGAACACACCAGAGAAATATAATGAGCACAGAGCAAGGGAAATGCCATGTAAAAGGTGAAGCAACACCATCAAGAACAGTTTAGATAAATGAACATATCACACAGTGAACACACCAGAGAAATATAATGAGCACAGAGCAAGGGAAATGCCATGTAAAAGGTTAAGCAACACCATCAAGAACAGTTTTAGATAAATAAATACATCACACAATGAACACATCAGAGATTCTTGCATCTTCCACAGATGTTTTACAGAGGTAAATGAAGGTTAAAAATGAAAGAGAGGAAGAAAATGAAAGTGCGGAGGAAGAAGATGAAAAAGGGGATAATAAAGAAGAAGAAAAGACAAAGAAGGAGAAGAAAAGACAAAGAATCAGAAGGAGAAGGATAAGGAAGAAGAGATGGGTTGGAAGTGGCACATAAACACATTGCCGTTGTAGCCCAGACAACAGATATGGTTTTTGAAAAACTTCAGCTTTTCTATGTTTACAGGAAATGTGCACTTACTGTCATCATGCAAATGTAAATAGACAATGTACACTGAATGACCAGAATGTCTGTAAACAAAATTGAAATTAATAAAATAAAATGTGCTTTGTACTGTGTTCATAGATATTTAACCTTTGTTTACTTATACAGGTGAAAACAGAAGTGGCAATGGAAATGTTCGCCCTACAGATCTTGGTCTAAGAGGGCATGAGGCTGGCGGTGCCTTACAGCCAAAGTCACTGACAAAATCTGGCAATCTCCAGCATGGAAAGCCTTATTTGAACCCAACTTACATGGAAATCCCTATCAAAGAAAATGATTCCCCAAAGGGAAATAATAAATCAAAAGATATTCCCACTCCTGCTAAAAGTATCACATCCTCCTTGTCCAGAGATAGTTTATCTCTTTCTCCAGAGTTAAAACAGGTTGGTCCATATTTCATAGTGTGTTTTTAATTGAAATGCCATTGTACAGAAAACAGTTAATGATGATGACATAATCTTTGCAGCTGTTGATAGTCTGTTGATCTATAAAAACAGGTGTTTGCAGAAAGTTAAGTGTGTTGTTAGAGAAGATTAAACTCTTGTCCGGATACCCTGTTCAGCCTTATAAGATGGGTATGATGTATACATTTTCAGACCCTGAATTCCCAGTGTGGATTCTGGGGCCCTATTGTGGGAAAAAACAAGAATAGACCCACTGCCTTCCTAACAAGCATGTCGTAGGAGTCGACTAATTGAGAGCTTACTTATAAGTCAGAGTGCATCTGCCCGAGCGGCAAGGAACAACAGCAACTGCACACAAATAAGCCAGTAAAATGGAGGTACATGCAAAACTGAGGCTCTGGCACAAAGCTAAAGTCCACATGGACGAACAACCAGGACTTTCCACCGGAGTTTGCAGCTGGTGAACAAAGAAGAAAAAGAAAAAACCAGGAATAAATAAATCAGATGAGAAAAGGAGATAACTGGTGCTGGTAGGATATAGTGCAGTGATCACCTCACCCCCTTAAATATATGGCAAGACCCCTCCCCCCCCCCCCTCCCTCCCTCCTCAACATAACAAAGTGTGATAAATAAAGAGGAGTAATATGTTCTTAATCTATATTCAAATGCATGTTCTATCATGTTCATTTGATTGTTTACAGTAGATATACAAACTCCTCATGAAAACAAACATCCTCAGCTTTTTGTTTTAAAAATAGTTTAATTTATAATTAAACTGAAAATAAAATGTAAGCATAATGGATTATTACAAGTACTGAATGAAGCACTCCTTTTCAAAATTGCTCAGCGCCACCATTGGAACTTCCTCACACTCCCCTAGGGAAACACTCCCCCTCCCCCATCCCTCCTTCCAGACCACTGATATAGAGGAACCTTCAGAAGATATTAGTGGCTATAAGGGTGTGGCATGACTAGGTTAAAGTTTCTTTGTTCTAAGGGATAGGGGGAATAAATGGCAGAAGAAGAAAAAAAAGATGAAGAAGAAGAATAAAGGCAGTTTTTAATATCCATTTTTTTTTAAATGAGGTTTAATTCCACACAATAATTACAACAATACAGGTTCTACTGGGGCAAATGTTATCTTCTCAGCTTGATAAAAGAAATGTTGCTAAACAAATATCTACACTGTATCAACTTGGGGGGGGGGGGGGGGGGGTGGAGTATTGCATTTGTTGGGAATATTACCTGAGCAAATACCTTCATTGTATCAAATTTATGGGAATATTACTGAGGTAAATTTCATTCTGGCAAATTTATGGTAATGTTACTGGAGTAAATATCTTCATTGTATCAAATTTATGGGAATATTGCTGAGGTAAATTTCATTCTGTCAAATTTATGGGAATATTACTGGAGTAAATATCTTCGTTGTATCAAATTTATGGGAATATTACTGGAGTAATATTTCATTGTATCAGATTTATGGGAATATTACTGGAGTAAATTTCATTGTATCAAATTTATGGGAATATTACTGGAGAAAATATCTTCGTTGTATCAAATTTATGGAAATATTACTGGAGTAAATTTCATTGTATCAAATTTATGGGAATATTACTGGAGTAAATTTTATTGTATCAAATTAATGGGAATATTACTGGAGTAAAAATCATCACTGTCTCAAATATTTTGAAAAATTACTAGTCTTCATGGTCTCAGCTTTATGGAAAAATCCCTGGAGTAAATGCTATCATTGTCTCAGTTTGACTTACTGGAGTATATATATCATCATGATCTCAAGTTGATGGAGAAAATACTGGAGTAAATGCTATCATTGTCTCAGTTTGACTTACTGGAGTATATATATCATCATGATCTCAAGTTGATAGAGAAAATACTGGAGTAAATGCTATCATTGTCTCAGTTTGACTCACTGGAGTATATATATCATCATGATCTCAAGTTGATGGAGAAAATACTGGAGTAAATGCTATCATTGTCTCAGTTTGACTTACTGGAGTATATATATCATCATGATCTCAAGTTGATGGAGAAAATACTGGAGTAAATGCTATCATTGTCTCAGTTTGACTTACTGGAGTATATATATCATCATGATCTCAAGTTGATGGAGAAAATACTGGAGTAAATGCTATCATTGTCTCAGTTTGACTTACTGGAGTATATATATCATCATGATCTCAAGTTGATGGAGAAAATACTGGAGTAAATGCTATCATTGTCTCAGTTTGACTTACTGGAGTATATATATCATCATGATCTCAAGTTGATGGAGAAAATACTGGAGTAAATGCTATCATTGTCTCAGTTTGACTCACTGGAGTATATATATCATCATGATCTCAAGTTGATGGAGAAAATACTGGAGTAAATGCTATCATTGTCTCAGTTTGACTTACTGGAGTATATATATCATCATGATCTCAAGTTGATGGAGAAAATACTGGAGTAAATGCTATCATTGTCTCAGTTTGACTCACTGGAGTATATATATCATCATGATCTCAAGTTGATGGAGAAAATACTGGAGTAAATGGCACCATGGTCTTAATTAACTTGATGTGAAAACACAAAACAGTCATGCAAATGAAGTTCAGAGGACCCATATATCCAGCGCAGCTCCCACTGTTGTGTCTTCACCTTAAAGTGGTCTGCGTGCTCCAGTGACCCCAAGAGCCATACCAGCGGTAGAGAAGCTGCTGGTAGGGTCTCCCATGTCAGATACATAGAGGGCATAAACCTGCTGTCATGTTCGTTTGGGGGGGGGGGGGGGGGGGGGGGGCAGTGAATCTACCACACAGGGAATAGGTTTAGTCAAATGTAACAGTTATAGTGGAATGTTGAGTACACACAAACCTAGGTAGTTACACTGCATTCATAATAAAGTGTGTGTCATTTACAACATAAAGACAGCATACATGCTATTTAAGGAGTATAAGAGCAAAAGGATCCACTTCATTACATTGAGTGTTATCCTAACTGGCGCACACTGTTTCTGGAGAGCGACTGGTAGCCTGTCGAGGAAGGTTGGCAAAGCACAAAACTGTGATGACAGTCCCCAGACACCTTCACAGGCGCTAGCACTGGCTGTCAAACATAGACCCTTGCAACAAGTAATGAGCAGAAAATCATAACAGAGATACAAAGTCTCAGAAGAGTTCTCAGAGTAGTACCAAGAATATATCAGATGAAAATGAACAGATTAGAAGACAAGTACTGAAATTATTCATACAGTTCCTTAAAGATTGACACATGAGATGGTTTGACAATCTGATAGGAAGGCTTTGGTATAAACTGCCACGGAGAGCCATACTGCAGAAATATAATGAACAAAGAGCAGAGAGAATACCAGGCAAAAAATAGAATGACAGCATCAGTGTCAGCCTTGGAGAAATCAAGATCAAGTTGTTAGTGGAGGAGAAGAAGATTCTGTATGAATATGTAATGCTCTCTTTATATTTTCCTTGCAGCCAAATCAAACTGCCAAAATGTACAGAAGCCCTAATCTTGAGGGGAATTCTTCACTGTCTTTCACCATAGATCTGGATGGTCCAGAACATCCATTAAAGAAGTCTCTCAGTATAGGCACTAGCATTAGTGAGTTCATGCCTTCCAAGATCCGCAAGAACTTTCGGGAAAGGAAGGCAATCACATCAAAAACTGGCTCAAAGGAGTCCACACCCAGCAAACATTCTGTATGTTATCTTCATGTGTTTAGTTATCTCATGTTAGTTTTTTTGTGAAACTACTTCCTGGGTGTATTCATGCAGAGTAGTTGATAGAAATTAGCTAAATATCAATTAGGTACTGGGTAACATAAGAATGTTTGAATAACAGTGATAGCAAAGAGAAGACCAGACCAGTTATCTTCATGTGTTAAGTTATCTCATGTTAGTTTTTCTGTGAAACTACTTCCTAGGTGTATTCATGCAGAGTAGTTCGTAGAAATTGGCTGAATATCAATTAGATACTGGCTAATGTAAGAATGTTTGAGAAACAGTGACTCTTGGTTCCCTTTTTGACCTTACAAGGTCCAACAATTAAGTAATGAGACTAATTCCATAAAAATTAAAATAATCAACAGTTGAAGATACAACCTGTATTTTATTCAAAGTAAGCCCCCTTGTGCATTGATACAGTGAGTAGCACGATCTAACAAACACTGGAATGACCTCTGTAGTTCTTCTTTTGTTACGGCCCTTATAGTCGATTTTACCGCCCTTTGAATATCATCAGTATCATTGAAGAAGCTTCCTTTCAATAGTAACTTTAATTTTGGGAATAGAAAATAATCACAGGGTGGACAAAGTGGGGGAATAGGGTGGAAGGCCTAGAACACACACTTGTTTTTGGGCCAAAAATTCTTGTTTTGATAATGTCTATTGGGTACTCAACCCGCTGATGTTTTTGGTCATCAGACAACGAATGTGGTACAAACCAGCAAGCAACTTTTTTCTTTTCCAAAATCTTGCACTAAAATGTTATAAATGGTCTCTCTATTAGCACCAGATTCATCTGCCATCACCCTCACAGTAAAACAATGATCTTCTTGTATCCGTTCTCTGACTTTTGCAACGAGTTCATCATTAGGAACAGAAATTTGGTGTCCAGGTCTAGGTGCATTAGTAATCATTTCCACACCACTATTGAATCGTGAACACCACCTGAAAATTTGTGCACAAGATAAACTATTATCCCCATAAACTTGTTGCATCAATTCAGCTGTTTCAATGGCGCTTTTTCTGAGTTTTAAAAAGAATTTAAAGTTACCTTTAAGCTCCATGCTGATTACATAACAATGCACCTCTGACTAGGTCAACAGAATGGTGGCTTGTTTGTCGTCTACTTATCGGGCAGCGATGAAAAGTTGCTAGATCATAGTTGAATGTTGCCTCTTTCGATTCCATGCTTTGCTTCATAGATGGCATTTTTGTCTTGGCCATAATAAAATCAGTCTTATTACTTAATTGTCGGACCTTGTATGTTTCTGTTTCTCTGTCAAGTCTACTTCTGTATAGGTCATGGACTCTTGAACATGTTTTACATGGAGTTGTGTAGAGGTGTGTTATGTAGAACAAGCTTAACTAAGTCAGTTCAGATATTTGAGGATAATTGTACCATCAGATATTTGAGGATAATCGTAGCATCAGCTTTTTAAGGATTATTGTAGCATAAGGTATTTGAGGAAAATCCTACTATCAGATATTTGAAGATAATCATAATATCAGATATTTGAGGATAATCTTACCATCAGATGTTTGAAGTTGATCATACCATCAGATATTTGAAGATAATCATACCGTCAGATATTTGAAGATAATCATACCGTCAGATATTTGAAGATAATCATACCGTCAGATATTTGAGAATAATCTTACCATCAGATATTTGAAGATAATCATAATATCAGATATTTGAGGATAATCATGCCTTCAGATATTTGAGGATTATCTTACCATCAGATATTTGAAGTTGATCATACTATCAGATATTTAAGGATAATCATGCCATCAGAAATTTGAGAATAATCCTACCATAAGATATTTGAAGATAATCATAATATCAGATATTTGAGGATAATCATATCTTCAGATATTTGAGGGATATCTTACCATCAGATATTTGAAGTTGATCATACTATCAGATATTTGAGGATAATCATATCTTCAGATATTTGAGGGATATCTTACCATCAGATATTTGAAGTTGATCATACTATCAGATATTTGAGGATAATCATATCTTCAGATATTTGAGGGATATCTTACCATCAGATATTTGAAGTTAATCATACTATAAGATATTTGAGAATAATCTTACCATTAGATATTTGAGGATTATCTTACCATCAGATATTTGAAGTTGATCATACTATCAGATATTTGAGGATAATCATATCTTCAGATATTTGAGGGATATCTTACCATCAGATATTTGAGGATAATCATGCCATCAGATATTTGAGAATAATCTTACCATTAGATATTTGAGGATTATCTTACCATCAGATATTTGAAGATAATCATACCATCAAATATTTGAGGAAATTTATACCAGAAAATATCCTTGCCTGCCATCCAGGTGGTAATGGGTTTGAATTTGCGTAGAGTCGGATTTGAAATAATGGACTTTGATGCCAGGTTTACCCAGCCTAAAGTTACTTGCCTATCCTTTGCAGGATGTTGCAGAACCAACCCTAGCATTTGTTGGCTGTTTTTTTTTTGGGAATGGGGGGGGGGGGGGGGGGGGGGGGGGGGGGGGTTACTAGGCAATTTTTCATTCTGTGGTTGACTATTGCTTTCTAAACAGTCAACTTTTGATATTCCTGTTGAAATCAATGCTGCTAAATCACCTGCAGCTGAAATACATCCGGGTACCTAAAATGGGAACCTGGAAGATTATCTGGGAATTAAAGATGGCCAATGTGAGGCTAAACACATCTTTCATCAAGTAGTGACCTATACAAATTTTGTGCTGGCAGATATTACAGATTTTGTGCTGGCAGATATTACAGATTTTGTGCTGGCAGATATTACAGATTTTGTGCTGGCAGATATTACAGATTTTGTGCTGGCAGATATTACAGATTTTGTGCTGGCAGATATTACAGATTTTGTGCTGGCAGATATTACAGATTTTGTGCTGGCAGATATTACAGATTTTGTGCTGGCAGATATTACAGATTTTGTGCTGGCAGATATTACAGATTTTGTGCTGGCAGATATTACAGATTTTGTGCTGGCAGATATTACAGATTTTGTGCTGGCAGATATTACAGATTTTGTGCTGGCAGATATTACAGATTTTGTGCTGGCAGATATTACAGATTTTGTGCTGGCAGATATTACAGATTTTGTGCTGGCAGATATTACAGATTTTGTGCTGGCAGATATTACAGAATTTGTGCTGGCAGATATTACAGATTTTGTGCTGGCAGATATTACAGATTTTGTGCTGGCAGATATTACAGATTTTGTGCTGGCAGATATTACAGATTTTGTGCTGGCAGATATTACAGATTTTGTGCTGGCAGATATTACAGATTTTGTGCTGGCAGATATTACAGATTTTGTGCTGGCAGATATTACAGATTTTGTGCTGGCAGATATTACAGATTTTGTGCTGGCAGATATTACAGATTTTGTGCTGGCAGATATTACAGATTTTGTGCTGGCAGATATTACAGATTTTGTGCTGGCAGATATTACAGATTTTGTGCTGGCAGATATTACAGATTTTGTGCTGGCAGATATTACAGATTTTGTGCTGGCAGATATTACAGATTTTGTGCTGGCAGATATTACAGATTTTGTGCTGGCAGATATTACAGATTTTGTGCTGGCAGATATTACAGATAAACCAGATCTGTAAAACTGATGTGCATGCAACACTTGGGTTCTGGAACAAACCTAAAGTCTGGAGATGGATGGAAGCCGATAACTTTCCACGAACGTGAAAAAAAAGAAAGGAGAAGAAGAAGAAGGAGGAGGAGGAGGAAGAGAAGAAGAAGATAAATAAAATGTACATGTTCATCTTATTCTTCTGTTTGCCAGTGATACCATTTGTTAGTCTAAAAATGCCATATTTTATGGCAAAGAAAACACTGTACATTTTTCAAAAACAAAACAATTAGCAAAACAACACCAGACACACAGTGTATACCATTGATCCATTGTCTTCTGTTTCAGGAAGAGCGTGAATTGTCTCCCCTGTGCCATCAAAAGCTTGATGAAATCCCTAGCTTGCTTGCAGAAGGTAAAGGGAGACCCTGGTTGGCCAGCATACAGGCTACAGCGGGCAGCAGCTCTCTCAGATCCCCAAACCTGGAGGAGATAGACCGCTTTTCTGATTTTTCAGATGAGAGGAATTCACTGGAGAGGGACACAGATCGGAGAAGTAATGAGATTTTTTTTTAAACTGATGGTTTTATTTGCTGCTATACTTTCCTACTTTCCAATGCAGATATTTAAGATATGATATATAGTAATAGTTTTTTCTCACTTGCACTACCTGATACTTTCACACATACCCCACATGTTAGCACACCTTAAACACTGCTTCAAAAATACCACAAAAATGAGTACGTTTAGCACACCTTACACATGTGAATCATATATTTCTTGTCCTCTATCATCAGGATCACCTGTGCTGATTTTCCCATTTCCAATTATTTCCAATATTTCAGGTCACTATTCTGGAGATTTTCCTGTGTAAAGTGCAGGCTCCTTTCAGCTTTCTGCACATGATCTCATACTTCTAAGATAGGAACATTGCCTCTCAGCTTCATTAGCTGAGTTATTTTTCTGTCCTTATTTAGATTTGTCAATGGTTGTTGGATATTGCAGTTTGCATTTTCTGCTTGATGAGGGTACCAGTGACATACCAACTGTTCTTAGTTGGCTTTTATGATATGCATAGTAGGTTGCATTGTTATTCTTTGTTTCTCTTATAGTCCCTGGCAGATTGTGGATTTAAAATGTTGTGGTATAAGGATTTTCTAGTCTGTTCTTGGAAGCATCAAATAGCATTCTTTATGCAAGCATTTGTTTGGTAGGAAGAGCAATCTCCAACATGCTAACACCTTTCTTTCCTTCTTTATCAGCATCTTTTGTTTAATATCAGCTTTTACAAAGCAGCTGTATTGAGTATGACCATAGACATGGAGATAACCAGAGAACTAGTATCAGCAGCAGAACTAGCAGCAGCACATGCAGTAATGGAATCACTCCATGAATATGCTTCAGAAAGCCCCACTGCACCTCACTCATCCACACACGGGGCATGATGGATTTAAAATGTCACATAAAAAATGACTAAGAAGGAGATGAATTAGCAGTAGAGACAGTGTAGGTAACGGTAATCAGTGTCTTAGACTGAAAGAATGAAAATAACCAAGTCATAATATAATTGTCGATGACTGAAGGAGGTAAAATAACTTAATGGTAAATAAAAGTAAAAATTGTCTGTGACTGAAGACCTTTGTTAAAGTAATTAATATTATATGACTGATGGAGTTGAAAGAACAAATAATATAATAAGTAACAGTAATAATTGTTAAATTATAAATACAATCTTTATACCGACATTAGGTTATCAATGTCAGACTTGGACATTAACAAAAGAACATGAGAGAAGACTAACCACCTTTGAAATGAGATGTTTGAGAATGGCTGCGAATAAAACCAGAAGAGATCGAGTGAGAAACGATGTGATTACAAGAACTATTGGAACCATACCCATCGTTAAATTTATTGAGAAGCAAAGAATGAAATGGTTTGGTCACCTAATGAGAATGGAACCAACGAAGCCAGCATCAAGAGCATACAACATGAAAATTTAAACAACAAGAGGCAGGGGAAGACCAAGAAGAAGATGGATTGAAGGAGTCACGGACAACTTGAGACTTCATAACATCACGGCATATGAAGCGACTGAGCGCGCCCTGGCTCGGTTGCAGATCATCTGATAGACTGCGACGCCTAGCGGCACAAGCAGATTTTGACAAAAGAAGAAGAAGAAGAATAATTGTTGATAATTGAAGGAATTAACTAGAGGACCATCTAGCAAGTAATGCACTGATGCATGTGAGAAGACGAATGGGCTCATGTAATTTAAAGCTACAAATGCTATGCAGTCTGACACTATTCTGATTATGTGACCTGGAAGTAAAACCTGATGAAGCACATCTATGCCTTTAGGGTCAAAATAGATATTCTTACCAGTTATTCAGTTAAAAAGTCAGTAGAGGTACATTGAGAAGACTGCTGCATCAGAGGATTGAGTATGTGTGGGAATGCCCAATGTGCAGTGATGCTGATTAGGTAATTAGTCTTTCCTCTTGAGCCTAAGGATTACAGAGGACAGAGTTCATAGCTCTCCATGTCTGGCTGTTCGGTGCCACCTGTTTTGGGTCTTGAATCTTCTTTGGGCTCATGGTTAAGGGTTCCCTGATGATGGTTCTACAAAGGGTCTTTGTTGGTCTTCCCCATTTGTTTTTTCCATTCCAGTGTCCATAGCATCGCCGATGTAGTTCTAGTGTCCATAGCATCGCCGATGTAGTTCTAGTGTCCATAGCATTGCTGATGTAGTTCTAGTGTCCATAGCATCGCCGATGTAGTTCTAGTGTCCAAAGCACCCCCGATGTAGTTCTAGTGTCCATAGCATTGCTGATGTAGTTCTAGTGTTCATAACATTGCCGATGTAGTTCTAGTGTCCATAGCATCGCCGATGTAGTTCTAGTGTCCATAGCATTGCCGATGTAATTCTAATGTCTATAGCATCGCCGATGTAGTTCTAGTGTCCATAGCATCGCCGATGTAGTTCTAGTGTCCATAGCATCGCCGATGTAGTTCTAGTGTCCATAGCATTGCCGATGTAGTTCTAGTGTCCATAGCATCCCCGATATAGTTCTAGTGTCCATAGCATCGCCGATGTAGTTCTAGTGTCCATAGCATCGCCGATGTAGTTCTAGTGTCCATAGCAACGCTGATGTAGTTCTAGTGTCCATAGCATCGTTGATGTAGTTCTAGTGTCCATAGCATCGCTGCTGTAGTTCTAGTGTCCATAGCATCGCCGATGTAGTTCCAGTGTCCATAGCATCGCCGATGTAGTTCTAGTGTCCATAGCATCGCCGATGTAGTTCCAGTGTCCATAGCATCGCCGATGTAGTTCTAGTGTCTATAGCATCGCCAATGTAGTTCTAGTGTCCATAGCATCGCTGATGTAGTTCTAGTGTCCATAGCATCGCTGATGTAGTTCTAGTGTCCATAGCATCGCCGATGTATTTCTAGTGTCCATAGCATCGCTGATGTAGTTCTAGTGTCCATAGCATCGCCGATGTAGTTCTAGTGTCCATAGCATCGCCGATGTAGTTCCAGTGTCCATAGCATCGCTGATGTAGTTCTAGTGTCCATAGCATCGCTGATGTAGTTCTAGTGTCCATAGCATCGCTGATGTAGTTCTAGTGTCCATAGCATCGCCGATGTAGTTCCAGTGTCCATAGCATCGCCGATGTAGTTCTAGTGTCCATAGCATCGCTGATGTAGTTCTAGTGTCCATAGCATCGCCGATGTAGTTCTAGTGTCCATAGCATCGCTGATGTAGTTCTAGTGTCCATAGCATCACTGATGTAGTTCTAGTGTCCATAGCATTGCTGATGTAGTTCTAGTGTCCATAGCATCACTGATGTAGTTCTAGTGTCCATAGCATCACTGATGTAGTTCTAGTGTCCATAGCATCACTGATGTAGTTCTAGTGTCCATAGCATCACTGATGTAGTTCTAGGGTCCATAGCATCACTGATGTAGTTCTAGTGTCCATAGCATCACTGATGTAGTTCTAGTGTCCATAGCATCGCTGATGTAGTTCTAGTGTCCATAGCATCGCCGATGTAGTTCTAGTGGCGCTGTCTTATAAAACTGGATACATTATCTTAGTTGATCTTTTGTCTTATTTACATATTGGATCTGAAGTCTGTCCAGTGGAGATTTATTCATTTTCTGAGACATTTATTCTCAAAATTGTCTCATTTGTTTATCTAGAGCTACCGTTGCTGTCCAACTGTCGCATCCATAAGTTAATACTGGAATCACACAAGAGGTGAAGATCTTAAGTTTTATGTGTTTGCTGAATGTCTTTCACTTCCAGATGTTTGACAGTTGGTAAAAGATACTAGATAGTGTGATTCTAGATGATATTTCTGGGGCTGAATCCCCTAAAGATGAAATCTTACTCCCTAATTATGAAAAGCTTTTAACTTTTTTCAATAATGTGATTGTTTGGTTTGATGTCATCTAAATTATTGGTTAGATCAATAATTTTTGTTTTTGCAGTGTTAATTTGAAGACCAGTTTGTCCTGAACTATTTTGTTGTCTTTTTTCTTCGATATTGGGGTGCGTTGAACTTAAAAGAACTGTCATCAGTCAGCAAAGTCAAGGTCTTCTAGAATTTTGTCAACCCATATTTGAATTTGTGCATTTGCGCATGACCCAGTCGATTGCTGTGAAAAACAGCATTGGTGACAGGACATCCTTGTTTCACTTCTGTTTCCACTGGGATCCAGTCAGAGTTGCCAGATTATGTTCTTACACTGCAAAGTGTTTCATTGTAGAAAGATTTTATGACGTTGATGAATTTAGTAGGGAAACCATAGATTTTAAGTAGTTTCCAAAGTGTAGGACGGTGAATATTGTCAAAAGCTTTTTAAAAGTTGACAAAGTTGATGATTAATTTTGACTGAAATTCTATGAATTCTTCAGTGCTTATTCTGAGGTACTGATTGTGATAACCTATTAAAATTATACATTGATAAGTCTCAGTATGAACATCAGTCTTAATAGTACTCTTGACAGAGCTCATATACAGATGTAACATCTCCTCTGCGACACGTCACTTTGGTACAAGGTGGAAGAGAAAAAGAAGAAGAAGAAGATAGTCTCAGTAGAAGAAGCCAAGTTTTGAATGTATATGAAAATGCACCACCGTGGAACACCTTATGAAACAATTATTTTATCAGTTAAGAGTTTTCTGAAATCACATATGTTTGTCTGAAAGGTGCAGATATCACAGCCTAACTGTAAACCACAACGCAACATACCAAACACAGTTGTAAGTACGAATTCAGAAGAAGAAGAAGAAAATATATGTCGCATCACTTTATATTGAGGCGAATAAAAAAAACACATCCGGCCTTCCAAAGTTGTGAAAGAATAAAAAATGGTGTTCCATATCCATGATGGATAATAGCTGTAGTGCACCCTCTGCTGACCTTAGAACATTATGTGGTGAGGCCCCAATCTCTTCCACTGTGCAGCTCTCATACCACTGTCTTATGTCGGAATTGGACCCTGATACCTGCAGGGTCATATCATTATAAAACACAGTAACTAAGCTCACTGACATAATGTTAACCATATTACCCACTCAGTGCTAACTGGTCCGTAAAAAATAAAATGAAGCTAGCACCATACAAGTATGTACCTTGATGTATCTAAAGGCCTTTACTTTTTTTTAAAACACTATTGTCATTTTTGATGAAGTAGTTGTCACTCTTTAGCTTTAGTGAATATTATTTCTAATTTTAAGCACCGTTTTTTTTAGGTGTTTAAGTCTCAGATTTGATGCTGACTCAAAGTCTACCATATCCCAAACAGGTTCAGTGAAGAGGGCAACTTCCAGCAAACATCCACAGGTCACTTCAAAGCCTGTATCAGCTCCAGGTGTGAGATCACATTCTAGGAGTCCAGCAGGGGCTGCCAACTCTGTCAGCATGTCTCATTACTCTGACCCGACCTGTTATCTCATTGAGAGGATGCTGGAGGGGGGCAGTGCCGACCCTCTCCATGCAGACAAACAACAGTCTCCAGAAACCAAAATGTACAGAGAGGCAGTCATCTATGATAGAACTCTTGATGGTCGTCCATTGACAGACAAAAGTCTCCTCAGACCAGTGATTGATGCTCAGCCATACCCTCCTGCTGCTGCCACTAAATTTGTGAAGAAAACTGCTTTGAGTAAGCCAGCCCAGCCAGTGATGTCTCATGACAGCCAACTTGCTGATCATGATGACGACTTACAAATTGTTGAAGATATTCCAGACTGTGATCATGAAGCTGAGGGGAAAGATGATAAAGAGGACAAAGTTAGTGAAGCTGGCACTTACACAATAGAAGCTGATTTGAAAGAAGGAAAGGAGGAAGAACAAGAAGCACGAAAAAGAATAGACCAGGTGTTCGGAGTGGATTTAGACAGTTTTAGTACAGAGCAACCTGTCATAGATCCTCTGCGGTTAGCAAGTCCTGGGGGTTATGACAATGTTTATGACATGAGTGACGATGGAGAAAGAACACCCTTGGACGAGAGCAATCTGTCCCCAGGTGAGGATGGTGAAACAGACCTAACATTGGATGATGATTATAATGAAGAGGTTAGTGCAGAGATTGTTTGTGTCCTCATTGTTTGTTTGTATCATCACTTATGTTGTCAGTAGTCATTGTTTGTTTGTGTCATCATTGTTTGCTTGTGTCATCACTTGTGTTGTCAGTTGTCATTGTTTGTGTCAACACTTGTGTTGTCAGTCATCATATTTTGTTTGTGTCATCACTTGTGTTGTCAGTTGTCATTGTTTGTTTGTGTCCTCACTGTTTGTTTGTGTCTTGACTTGTGTTGTCAGTCATCAGATTTTTGTGCTTGTCCTGGAATTTTTGTACTGCATTCTCGCCAGGAGCTTGCTTGAGTGTGACATCAGCACAGCCATTAATGTATAGACATTAGTATTCATTCTCAAGCTTACAGTTTTCAATTATATGCAGAGCTTGCCTGAAACATAAGTACTTCTTGTCAGGAAATGCAAGAGAATTCTCCAGGTATGTAGAGCTGATACTTCATGTTAAAACTCTCCTCAGAATTAATTTACAGGCTGCTTGCCTGAGTTTATGTAAGCAGCCACCAACTGTCATGTGTAGAACGTTTCCAGGATGTAATCTATTTCCCAAACTAAGGATGGTCTGTCTAGAATCGTGATGGTGTCCTGTCTACGTAAATGTTGACATTAATGTTGAAGGAATGAATCAAGTACTGACATCACCACACTCAGGACATTATGAATGAATGAATCAAGTACTGACATCACCACACTCGGGACATTATGAATGAATGAATGAAGAACTGACATCTCTACACTTAGGAAATTATGAATGAATCAATCAATCAAGAACTGACATCACTACACTCAGGACATTATGAATGAATCCATCAATCAAGAACTGACATCACCACACTCGGGACATTATGAATGAATGAATGAAGAACTGACATCTCTACACTTAGGAAATTATGAATGAATCAATCAATCAAGAACTGACATCTCTACACTCAGGACATTATGAATGAATGAATCAAGAACTGACATCACTACACTTAGGACATTATGAATGAATCAATCAATCAAAAACTGACTACACTTAGGAAATTATGAATGAATCAATCAATCAAGAACTGACATCACTACACTCAGGACATTATGAATGAATCAAGAACTGACATCACTACACTCAGGACATTATGAATGAATCAAACAATCAAGAACTGACATCACTACACTCAGGACATTATGAATGAATCAAGAACTGACATCACTACACTCAGGACATTATGAATGAATCAAGAACTGACATCACTACACTCAGGACATTATGAATGAATCAAGAACTGACATCACTACACTCAGGACATTATGAATGAATCAATCAATCAAGAACTGACATCACTACACTCAGGACATTATGAATGAATCAAGAACTCACATCACTACACTCAGGACATTATGAATGAATCAAGAACTGACATGACTACACTCATGACATTATAAATGAATCAAGAACTGACATGACTACACTCAGGACATTATGAGTGAATGAATCAAGAACTGACATGACTACACTCAGGACATTATGAATGAATCAAAAACTGACATGACTACACTCAGGACATTATGAATGAATCAAGAACTGACATGACTACACTCAGGACATTATGAATGAATCAAGAACTGACATGACTACACTCAGGACATTATGAATGAATCAAGAACTGACATGACTACACTCAGGACATTATGAATGAATCAAGAACTGACATGACTACACTCATGACATTATGAGTGAATGAATCAAGAACTGACATGACTACACTCAGGACATTATGAATGAATCAAGAACTGACATGACTACACTCAGGACATTATGAATGAATCAAGAACTGACATGACTACACTCATGACATTATGAGTGAATGAATCAAGAACTGACATGACTACACTCAGGACATTCCCCTACATGCTCCATCTCCTTCCTGTTTGTTGCAGCCTGTGTAAAGTTCCCCTTGTTTCTGTGCGGGTAGAAAATGGTCGAGACCCTCTGCTCACTGCCAGCTGAATAATTATCTCTGGTTAAAAATGTTGACATGAGTTGTTGGGTCAAGAATTGTTATCACAGCACTCAGGGCATTCCCATTAGCGCTCTGCCTCCTTTTTCAGCAGCCATGGCAGAGTTCCAGTTCTAATGGTACTGGTCATTGTCTTGCCTTTCCTCTGAGTTTAGTGAACCGGCCAGACCCTTTGGTCACACCCAGGTGCATCTTTCCAAAGTGAACTAATGGCAGCTGCAGAAGTTACTATTTTGATCCTTATGGTACAGTGTGGGTCAGTTGAGTGCCCAGGTGGTAATTGTGAACAGTTTGGGGAATCCCTTAATGGGCAAAAGTGCTGTACTAACTGGCCAGTGGAATATGTTCTGGTCTCCATCAATTCAGACCCCTCTAATCGGTGCACTGTATCCAGTAACTTGTCCACACCCAGACAGATGTTGTTTGTTGTTGTTTAAACTGAAAGTGTCCCCTAACAGGCAGGGCTAATACTCATTCCTCTATGACTTTACTGCACTTGCTATCCTCCAGTCTTGTGAAACGTATGATATTAAGTTGGTGATAAAACCATTCAAGCCTGATTAAGCTGGAAACCATGGAATTGGAAGGAATTGTGAAAGCATAGAATGCAGAACTTGCAGAGAAGGGAAAGAACTTAGCAGGGCAAACTAAAGATATGATTGATGCCTTAGGTGCCAAAATATCTCAGCTTTTCTCAGAAATCGTGTCAAGCTACCGTAATCTACAGATAAACAAGCTATGAGACAGATAATAATTATATGCTGCACAAAATCTACTATGTGACCTCTCACACATGTGTATCTGGGCTGAACCATCGCTGAAGGGAACTGTCATAGCTGCTGACTTTAGTTTCCATATGCTACATTTGGGATACCCCCAGGTACTCTTTTAAAAACCATACTGGAGGTAAAGGTCGATAGCAGGAGAGCAAGAGCTTGACATCAATACAAATGGGAGGACATGTATGCATGCTTGAAAATATTGGACAAGGAGAGGAGTGGGTCAGATTGATGAGCAACAGGCAAACTTGTGTAGGGTTCTAATCACATTGGACCGGGAGTACAGGGACTGGCCAATGGCGCTGCAGAATCAGATGTTCAACATCTGATTTGTGATAAATTCCTGCCCAAGTGATATGATTATCTTCCGCCCGAACCACGCCAGATTAAAGTCCAATGCGAAGCAGACAAGGAAAACAGCAACAAAAACTGAAACTCAGATGTGACAACACATCACACAGAAGGATCAAGAATATACCACAAAGAAACCCGGCCGACCAGAAAACCAACGCTCAGATAGGAGCCGGTTAAGCGTCGCCGCACTTTGACATTTTTGTTCACATTCTCAAGATCAAGATATGATTATCTAAACATATAGCTCTGTGGGGGAGAGTCAGACACAGTTCAAGGGGTTTCTAGCAAAGGTAAACAGACTTGGCTTTATGCATCAGAACTGGGCACTGGAAGCTGAGCTCCTCATGTCTAGTTTGAGAATGGATGTAGAGGCAGTCACAGCAGCTTCCATCTGGCTTGAGAACCAGCTGCATACACATGTGATTGTAACAGACTAGCACAGAATGCTGAGAAAGGTGGAGACAGATATGCAGAATGGCTAGCATCGCTTCAGAGGTCCCAGATAGTTAGTATCTTTTGGATATTTTCGTCAGAGTATGAACAAGTGTCGGGAAATGAGCAGGCAGACAGGCTGTCTGGCTCTCCGCCACTTGGTAATAAATTTATGCATACAAGCTAGATGTTACAAGGGCCCTTTGGGAGCTGTGAAAAGTTCGGTCTGAAGAAAATGTTGCAAAGGAAAGTGACCAGTGGATCTAACAGACACTTAGCATGTTGGGGGTGGGGGGGGGGGGAGGTACGGACATCTACAAACAGACTGCTATTGAACCATCTGAATTGGAACTGTGCTGGCTGCTCAAGAGGTGGACGAGCACTTATATATCTTGGAATGTGAGACAGTTATTAGACTTTTCTGCCTCACCTCATTTTGGGCAAACAAATTGAAAGAATAGCATGTGTTAGAAAAGATATTTTGACAGCTTAGAAGTACTGGATGATCCCATGGGTCTGGAGAAAGAGTTCCTTGTTGAAAATGAGAATGATGGGAACGGAAAGGAAAGCCTCCGTAGGTTTCCAGTACCAACGTCAACATCTTTGGCTGCCGCGTCCGTTTCTTTGCACCCCGTCCGTAGTTTCTATAGTGGCAGGTCTGCACAACCTCGAGGGTACCAGCTTCCTCTCTTGGTTCATGCCGCCGTGTGCTTGGGCCTATTCCTAACTGCCTTATTTGTGTCGGGACTCTGGAAGCGGTCCTCGCAAGACATTTCACTGTGGCATATTTTATTATTTCCTCTCATGCTGGTCTTTTAAAAGCTTTTATGTTGTCTGTGAAGAATAAAAACGCGCATTTTGTGATGGATTCGATTCCGATTCCTTTTGAGAAAAAAAAATTTAAAGATCGACCATTTTCAGACTGCTGTTAGCTAGCCGAGGTATTGAGAAACAGATGATTAATTCATGAACTTTAAACCTGTGTTTAGGGTCAGGTCTAGTTTATTTACTTCAAAGATGTTTGTAAATCTTTTTTTTTCGAATATTAAAATTTAGGTATGTTGAAAAAAATACAAAAATGTAGCTTTTTAAAATAATAATCAACTTTTTTTTTTAAAAACTACTTAAATAAACTGTAATTTTAAAGAGACCTGACCCTATGATATTGTGTTAGGAGTATCCACACCAAATTTCACGTCGTTAGTCTTTATATTAGCTGAGATTTTAGGAGATCTCACACACAACAAACAGAAAAATAGAATTGTTAGAAAAGTGACTTTTAAACTTTTTTTATCTTAAAAAAGTGCATGGGTTGGTGTCTTTAGTTTTAACTTTTCAATGCTAAAGTGTTTACAAATGACATACATTTTGTGTGTCATCTATTCTACGAATGCCGAACATTACAAAAACGACCACA